GGGCAGTGCGGGCAGAGCTCGCCCTGCCTGCAGGCTGCCTGCCTGCACGGGGGTCGCTGCCTGCCCCTGCCTGCAGGCAGCCCCGGCAGCCCTGCCTACCGCTGCCTCTGCCCACCCGGCTTCAGCGGTGAGTCCCGCGGGGTGCTGACACGCGTGTGCGGTTTGCACGTGCACGCTGTGGGCGGTTGGTGTGCGCGCGTGCGCGCGCACGCTGAGCACGCGGGTGGACTGGGCGTGCAAGCGTGTGGGCTGCGCGTGCACGCGTGCTGCATATGGGGGTGTGCCGTGCACGCACGTGTGCATGTGTGCTGCGCATCCATGTGCACTATGCAGGCGTGTATGCTGTACGTGCACGTGTGCTGTGCATGCGGGTGGGCTGCATATTGTGTGTGCTGCACATGCATGCGCACTGTGCATGTACGTGTGCATGTGTCTGCTGTGCATGCATGCACACTGTGCATACATGCGTGCTGCACATGCATGTGTGCTGGGGTGCAGGCATGCTGTTTGCAAGCAGGTGCATCTGCATGAGTGTGTGTGTAGTGTGCAGTGCGTGCATGTGCTGTGCATGCGTGTATGTGTTGAGTGTGCATGCAGGTGCTGTACATGCATGGGTGCTGTGCACACCTGTGTGCACTCCGGGTGCAGTTTGCACGTGCGTGCATCTGCTGCACATGGGTGCAGCGTGCACTGTGTGCATCTGCTCTGCATGTGCTGTGCGTGCATGTGCGGTGTGTGCAGTTGGCACGCATGCGTGCGTGCTATGCACAGGCTGCAGTCTGCACATGTGTGCATCTGCCGTGCACGCATGTATCTGCACGTATCTGTGTGCAGTTTGCACGTGTGCACGGCACGTGCGAGTGTGTACTGTGGGTGCTGTGCGTGCACAGGTACGGTGCGTGCGTGCATGCACTGTGCGTGCACACGCACTCCTCGTGTGCATGCTCACTTTGCACGTGTGTGTGCGTGCAAGGGCAAACCCTGGGCCAGCAGGTCAGCCGAGGGCATCTGACCATCCTCGCACCCACCCACGTCACCCGGTGTCACCTTCCTTGTCCCCAGGGCCACGCTGCGAGCGGGAGGAGGACCGCTGCCTGCACCACAACCCCTGCCTGCACGGCGGCACCTGCAAGGGCAACGCCTGCCTCTGCCCGCAGGGCTACGCCGGTCCCTACTGCCAGCACAGTGAGTCGGGGGACGCTTGGGGACAGACACCTGGGGACATGGGGGGGACATGTGCCACCCCGTCCCCAACCCCCCTTCACCCGCAGGCTTGGCGCTAGCGGAGCTGGAGCAGGACTGGCAGGAAGGCAGCGGGGGCGGAGGTAGGTGCCTGCACCCACTTCCCCCCCTTTTTGCACCCAAAGGTGGGGCCGTGGGTGTGGCAGCTGGGCGTGGTCTCCCCCTTATCGCCCCCTTATCCCCCCCTTTCTGCCCGCAGACGCCCCCGGACAGTTCAGCGCCGCTTTCCGGGACGGCTCCTACCTGGCCCTGCCCGGTCACCTCTTTCCCCGTGGGTGAGTGACGCCGGGGACAGGGTACCCCCGAGCAGGGTGCCGCGCCCCCCGAGCAGGGTGCCACACCCCCACGCCGGCATTGCACCCTGCCCGGGGTGCTGCACCCTTCCTGGGGTGCTGCAACCTCCCTGGGTAGTTGCACCCTTTTTTAAGGCATTGCACCACTTCCTGCAGTGTTGCACCCTGACTGCAGCATTGCACCCATCACAGCGTTGCACCCATCACAGCGTTGCACCCATCACAGCGTTGCACCCATCGCAGCACTGCACCCTTCCTGTGGTGTTGCACTCATTGCAGCATTGCACCCGTCGCAGCCTTGCACCCATCGCAGCATTGTACCCTTCCTGCAGTATTGCACCCAATGCAGCATTGCACCCATCACAGCGTTGCACCCATCGCAGCACTGCACCCTTCCTGTGGTGTTGCACTCATTGCAGCATTGCACCCGTCGCAGCCTTGCACTCATTGCAGCATTGCACCCGTCGCAGCCTTGCACCCATCGCAGCATTGTACCCTTCCTGCAGTATTGCACCCAATGCAGCATTGCACCCAGCACAGCATTGCACTGATTGCAGTGTTGCGCCCATCACAGCATTGCACCCCTTCCCATGCCATCACACCCTTCTAGGGTGCTGCACCCCTTTCTGCAGCATTGCACCTTTCCCACCTTGTTGCACCCATCATGGCGTTGCACCCCCCCCAGGATGCTACACCCCTTCCAGCAGCGTTGCACCCATTGCGATGTTGCACCCATCTCAGCATTGCACCCTTGCCATGGTGTTGCACCCATTGCAGCGTTGCATACTTCCTGGGGTGCTGCACCCTTCCCACTGCATTGCACCCTTCCTTCCTGCAGCATTGCACCCTCACAGGGTGCTGCACCCCTTCCCACAGCGTTGCACCCATTGCCATTTAACACCCTTCTCGGGGCGCTGCACCCAGAATGGCATTGTGCCCTTCCCAGAGTGCTGCACCCATCACGGCATTGCACCCCTCCTGGGGTGCTGCACCCATTGCACTATTGCACCCTTCTCAGGGTGCTGCACCCATTGCACTATTGCACCCTTCTCAGGGTGCTGCACCACCCTGGGGTGCTGCACCCACCGAACCATGCCCCTCTCCTTGCAGCCCACCCGAGGCGCCCGAGACCATCGAGCTGGAGCTGCGGACGGGCAGTGCCGACGGGCTGCTGCTGTGGCACGGGGCGGTGAGCGGGGTGGAGGGCATCGCTGGGGAGGGGACCGGGGTGCTGAGCCCCCTTAGGGTGGGGGTCAGGGTACCCCCCACCCCGCTCACCGCCCCGCTGCGCCCACAGGAGCCCGGCGAGGGTGGCAAAGCCAAAGACTTCATCGGCCTCGGCTTGAAGGACGGGCACCTGGTGTTCAGGTGAGCGGGGGGACCCGGTGTCACCCCGGGGTGCCCCGTGCCACCCAAGGGTGCCCTATGCCACCCCAGGGTGCCCGCTGTGCTGAGCCCACGTCACCCCTGCAGCTACCAGCTGGGCAGCGGTGAGGCCAGCATCGTCTCCGAAGACCCCATCAACGACGGCGAGTGGCACCGGGTGACGGTGACGAGGTGGGTGGGGGCCAGGGTGGGGGTCAGGGTGGGGGTCAGGGTGCGGGTGCTGATGGGTGCCGTGCAGGGAGGGCCGGCACGGGCGGCTGCAGGTGGATGGGGAAGAGCCGGTGAGCGGGCAGTCACCAGGAGCCAACGTCATGGCCAACACCCAGGGCAGCATCTACATGGGTACGGTGGCACCCAGGGGACATGGCGGGGCATGGGGTGGGACAGGGTGGGACGCAGGGTGCGACATAGGGTGGGACATGGGGTGGGACACGGGGTGAGACCTGGGGTGGGACAGGGAGGGACACAGGGTGGGACATGGGGCGGGACATGGGGTGAGACCTGGGGTGGGATAGGGGATGGGCAGGGGGTGGGACACATGATGGGACATGGGCTGGGACACGTGGTGGGACACAGGAGGGGACATGGGATGGGACACGGGACATGCGACAGAGCACAGGATGGGACATGGGATGGGTCATGGGAGGGGTTACATGATGGGACTTGGGATGGGACCCAGGACAGGACACGGGAGGGGATATGGGGTGGGACACGGAAAGGCGCGGGACATGGGATGGACACTAGATGGGACACAGGGTGGGCACACGGGAAGGGGACACATGATGGAACATGGGAGGGGGCGCAGGGTGGACGTGGGGTGGACACCGATAGGATGTGGGATGAGACTTGGGATGGGACACAGGATGGCCATGGGAAGAGAACACATGATGGGACATGGGACAGGGCACGGGATGGCCATGGGATGGGACATGGGACAGACACTGGATGGGACATGGGACAGGGCATGGGATGGATATAGGCTGGGACATGGGACGGGACACAGGATGGGACATGGGATGGACATGGGATGAGACATGGGATGGACATGGGATGGGACAGACATGGGATGGGATGTGGGCTGGACACGGGGTGGACGTGGGACAGGATGTGGGATGGACATGGGATGGGACACAGGAGAGGACACCAGGTGAGCCCACCGGGTGCCCTCGCACCCACGTGTCCCCTCGTGTCCCCCCCGCAGGCGGCGCTCCGGACCCCCGCAGCCTGACGGCTGGCAAATTCACCTCCGGCATCACTGGGTGCCTGCGGGGGCTGGCGCTGGCGCCCGCCGGGACCCCCCGGCACCCCATCGACCTGCGGCATGGCGCGGTGGGGGGCTCCCCCGCCCCCCCCTGCCCCTCCTAACCCCCGCCAAAATATATTTTGGGGGGAATTTGGCCAATCTTATTCCAAAAAAAAAAAAAAGCCAGGAGGAAACGGTGCTTTGCTGCCCCGGGGTGACTCGGGGGGGGGGGCCGGGACCCCCAAAAATGTTTACACCCCCCTCCCCCACATCAGCCCCCCCGAAACTGTGCTGGGGCGGCCGGGCCGCCCGGGTGCCCCCCTGGGGTGGCGGCGGGGTGGGGACGCGAGGGACAATCGGGGTGCTGGCGGGGACCCCCCCGCGGGGACAGCTATTAAAGGAGAGAGAACCAGCGCGGTGGCCGTGTTTGGGGGTGCTGCGCCGGCGGGGGAGTATGGGGGGGTATGGTATTGGGGGGTATGGTATGGGGATCCAGAAGGCATTTCGTGTGAGGATTCGGGTGGGTATGGTATAGGGGTTATGGG